GGTCCCAGCCCCTACCTCTCCAAGAACACTTGTGTTACAGGCTGAAACTGCCTTAGACAAAGTTAATCTGTCTCTCTTTAATGTTCAGCACTCTATAATGGGCCTCTCTTAATGTGTTTAATTAAGGGGTCCTGTGACAGTCTCCCAGCCCTCTACAATGGCTACATATGCCACATACTCTATACAAAACTATTATACCCTTTTATAATGCCGTGGTAGGACTGATTGCACATAGGTAGATGCGATACATGCTATTCAGCTTTTTGGATGTAAGTTGCAACATATTATTGTTCCCTTTCAGTGGTTATGGAAATTCCCATCCTCTCGGCAAACCACATCAGCCAACTTCCCTGGTATTAATTGTCATTATCCTCCAGATGATGTTGCTTCCCCAACACCCTTTGTCTTCTGTTCAAGACTAAGCTCAGTTTCCATTGCTGGAGGTATTCCTGTGGGCAACGGAGGTTATGTTATGGCCTGTTCCTGAATATAAGATAATGATTTTTCTTGTTCTCAAAATACAGAATTGCAGGCCATTATATGGGCCTTACAAGATCTTTCATCTATTCCAATTAATCTTTTTTCAGACAATGCTTATGTTTGTGGTATGATGTACCACACTGACACTACCACCATTCACACTAACCAGGAAGCTCTTTTTCATTTATTTCACACTGTTTAATTTGCCATTCGGTCACATCATGTCCCCTGTTTCATGGTCATTTACATTCTCATTCCCAATTGCCAAGACCTCTCATTAAGAGAAATGCTGCAATAGACAGATTGCTAGCAACTGCCCCTGTTACTCTATCTCAGATCCCATTCAATAGACTTTCGTCTCCCATTGCCACCTTTGGTCAGCAAGCTTCTGCTTTAGCAAACAGTTGCACTTAACCCAGGAACAGACTTAACAAATCATTAAACAATGCTCTTCATGTGTAATATTTTCCCTCACGCTCTATGGGGGACAGTCCCTGAGGATTATACCTCAGGCATCTCTGGCAAGTGGATGAGTTTTATTCTCTATGCTAGATCTGCATTTCAGTGCACATTTTCTCAGGGTTTATTTTTGCCGAATTGGTGAAGCAGCTAAACACGTCATTGCTCATTGCTTGGAGGTCTTTAGTATGCTTGGCCACCCGTGGGCACTCTAGAGTGACCATGACCCAGCCTATAAAAATGGTGCTTTCCAAACGTTTTGGAAAACTTCTCATGTTTCTTTTACCATGAGAATTCCTTATAACCTTCAAAGTCAAGGAATTGTTGAACAGTTCACCATATACTCAAAATTCAGTTATAAAAACAAAAGAGGCATCCTTCCCTGCAAAATTTATACCTCATAGTAGACTTCACTTGGCAGTATATACTATTAGCTTTTTAAATCCTATTAAACTACAGCAGCAGAAAGATGATTCAGTCAGGTGAAAGAAAAAAGTAAGGATCCTTTGCAACAATCTTCATACTGGACAATGGAAGGGACCCACCAATACCAGCATGGGATAGAGGGTATGCTTGCATTTTTTGAAAGAATACTTAACGGCCCATCTATGTACCAGAGTGTGCTTTCAGGCTGTATCATGGACTCAGGTCCAGAGAAAGTTGATCCCACCTTTCAAGAAGCTGATTCTGAGCCCTATGACCGTGATGCCTTGGAGACCACAGTACCATTGACAGACAAGGGTGGTGGAAGCTTGACCTGGAGCCAATTAAAGTAATTGATCTAGGATGCCCAGGAGATGTTAATAAAAAATAGGAATCAAACATCTGAGTAGGTGACAATATATAGAGATAACTGAAAGCTTTGTAAAAGAGACAAAAGTTACTAGTAGTCTTAAGACAAAATAAAATGTAAAAATAGGTTAATTATAAATATAAGATTTTGTCCCTTCTGAATTCTTCTTACAAACGATCTCTACTAATTGATGTGCAAAAAAAAATCTTGACTAGTTCTATTTATAGTCACAAATTTGTAAAATTGTAAAAGAATTACTATAATTCAATTTGTTCAAAAATATATATGAGTGCATTCGGAGTTTGTAAAATGTTTGTCTGATCTCTTAAGCTGTGTACTTGTTTTTTTGTCATATCCATGAATAACTTTTTATTTGAGCTCAACAATTTTTTCTCTTTTCTTTTGCATTATTGGGTCATTTGTTCAAAATTCAATTTGGGTTACAGATTTAAAAGCGAGCTTCCACCTGGGTGGCAACTGTTCAATTTGATATCAAAATGAGTTCGTTCAGATGTCATTAGAGATTGTTAAGATTAGTAAAGAGACTTTTCATACTTGAATAATTATTGGCTAAAGTTCCCTTTGATGAATAAAGGAGCAACTTCCTGGGAGAAATTATCCCAGCTTTTGTTCATTAACAGGAGACCCCAGTGACAACCCAAGAGACAACCCAATAAATGTTATTAAAATACATTTTTCTAATATGTTATTATTATTGATTCATTAAAGGATTAAGTTTTCTAGAAATAAGGTTTTTAATTTAAAGATATTCTGATATAAAAGTTCTCATATGATAACTGATTGCTATTATAGTAGATTGAATGTATTTACACCCACTTCAGAAGTATGGAATAAGAACTATTTATAGTGATAGACTTTTCTTTCAGATTCAGACAGCTGTCTTTATCAAAAATTATGTGATATCCAATTAAAGGACAGCAAGTTAGGTAAAACTTATGTGTTAGAGATGGTTGATAAAAAAGGTTATACTATGTCAAAATGAAATTTAAATGTATTACAAAATGTCATTGTGATTGTCATACTACAATATTCTGGGTCTTTTGATTTCTAATTTTCTGTGTAGAATATGTAACTATTACCTGTTAATGTTCTGTGGAGATTTAAATGGTAGGACATACATGGTTGGTAGAAAATAATGGTTCAATTTTATATAATATTAAGCTCACTACTCCTATTAAAATGTAATGCCATTAACCTTCTCTTATGGATGTTCAGTTGGAGACCCCAAAAACTCGAAAGATAGTTGGGCTAAAAGGAAAGCCAATATTTTGGCCCTATCTCTTTGAGGTCAGTAAAGACCCAAGGATATAAAAGACCCTCCTCTGTGAAATCCTGTAACTCAGTGAGTCGCTGGTCTTCTGACCAAGGAGATTGTGGGATCACAGAGAGTAATGATTTATGATGTGTCTCAAGAAAGTCAACAGGAGAAAAAGAAATCTCCCAAGCTTTCCCAGAAAACAATTTGGTCAAGCAGTGGCTATGCCTCCTTAAGATGGCTGACACTGACAGAAATAGTAAGATGTGCTCTGCCTCGTTCCCAGGTAATTACTGAGGAGATTTAACTGACCTTGAAAGATAGCCAAAAATGAATTAATTCAGGTCTCCCTTTAACTTGGTATTGAATATCCAGCAGAAAAATGTGACCCCAAGAAAGAAAATTGTCTGAAGAGTCCTCCAAACACAGCTAAATACCCATTGATTGCCACTACAAAAACAGAAAATGGGGAGATGTTGAAATCTACTGAGCTAGTGATCAAGCCAGGAACATGGAGCACCCCAGGAATGCCCTGAAGGCATGTAGCCCCCCTAGATGAATAGGTATTCCATCCCCAAGAATATGGGATGTGAGAGGCAAAGTAGTTATTAGGTAGAGGGGTTTCAGCTGACATCAACTTTCTAAATGAATAAGTGAACACTTTGTGGTAGTTGAGCAATTCCTTTCCTACCATCTGGAGAGAGGACTCCACCTGAACTCAGCTTTCTGTATATGGTCTCTTATATTTATTTCTTCATCCTCTTGCCATCCTTCCCCCCAGGAGCTTTGAGAGCAGCTCAGGATGCAGCATTAGACATTTGGCCTTTGACAAGAGTTAAAACTAAATGCTGGAGAAAAGATATCCTCTTGTTTAACAAATGGTGCTGGAAAAACTGCTTATCCGGGTGGGGAAAAATGAATGTAGGCCCTTGTACTAAAATCAAATCAAACTGGATCAAAGACCTAGTTGTGAAAACAGAAATACTGAATCTGGTGGAAAATAGAGTAGGTGAAACACTTGACAGGAATATACAATGATTTTCTGAACAGAACCCTAATTGTACAAGATAAAGAATCAGTAAATCAGAATATATTAAAAAGCTTTTGCACAACAAAGGTTACAATCCACAGAGTGAAGAAACAACCTACAGAGTGAGGAAGAATTTTACCAGCTACTCTTCTTATGTAATAATATCTAGAGTAGATAACTTTAACTCAAAAAACTAGACCTCATTAAACAAAAGACTCAATAAGAAAATGGACAATTGAAATAGACTTCTCAAAAGAAGTACAAATGGCCAGTAAGTACATAAGAAGAAGTTCAAGATCTTTGGCTGTTTGGGAAATGCAGACCAAAAGTACACTGGCATTACATCTTTCTCTAGTAAGAATGGCTATCAAATACTCAAAAGCAAACTGATGAAGATGTGGGGAAAACAGGACCCTTCCAAATTGTTGGTGGAATATAAACTAGTACAACCACAGCCTTTGTAGCAGCACAATTCATAATTACTGAGTTATGGAAACAGCCTAGATGCCCATTGACAGAGAATGAATGAAGAAAATATAGAATATTTATACAGTGAAGCATTAGCCATAAAGTCATTCACTTACAGGAGAAACCCAAGTATAAGTAAAGAGCAAAATAAAGGAGAGGTGATAGGAAACAGGGAGGTTGACCTTTTCAGTATGAGGAAGGGGGCCTAGAAAGTGGGAAATAAAGAGGGAAGAGTTTGCAGGGGAAAAGGATCAAACTGATGAAGATATAGTAGTGTGTATATTAAGTCACCAAAATGAATGCAGTTAGGATATATCACAAACATATACTAATGGAATTAAATAAAAAGTAATTTTCCATGAACTATTAGAGGTATCTTTGCCTATGGAAATCCCAAAAGGAATATGCTTTATAAACAGTCCTGACAAAATGTATTCCTAAAGGTGATTATAGAATCTTACTTAAACAGTTCTATAAAACAATTGCTCCCTCAGTGTTCCCTAGGCACAGTGACCCTGGAAGTGGGAAGAATCAAAACCGGTCCATTTCACTCAGAGAGGAGGCCTTCTCAAAGCAGCCAGGTGGGTAGCTCTGGAATTACCAGGGTGGCTCTGAGTACACCTTGAGGAGCTCATACACAGCATCCCTGTGGGTCTATGTGGGGTCATGGACACAGGGCTTGTTCTCTGGCACCATGGATGGCGCAGTGCCTTGAGTTACCAAATTTGAGACAAGCAGAGCAAGGGATGAGAAAGGGCAAAAGACAAGGCTCTTGAGTAGCTTTGCATCCTTCTAAAGAACTCCTTTTCCCACAGTCTCAAACAGTAACCTTCATGTATATGAAGCCTGTCAGAAAGACACACTTTTAAAGTATTGTACAAGAAATAGCAATCATTTTGTATTCAGCTGAAAAATCCTATATAGGTTAACTATATACTCATTACCATCTACAGAAGTATGTCAAATAGTTGAGGAATTTTAGTAAGCCCTTTCCTCAATCTTGTCTTCTGATGACTTCAGTCTGTCCTTAGAGATCATTTACTGTCACCAGTATTTCCTGCTAACTGGGCCTAATTTCGTAGTAAGGCTTAGGTTTTATGCATAACGTTAGAGAGGATTAGTCTAAATGAGACTGTGAAAAATCCACTAAAATTTCAGGTAAGTTGGAATTAATATTTTTACCCTTTTTGGTTTAATATTTATATCATTAGGTAAATTATTCTTAATAAGACATTTGCTCTTCAAATTACCAAATGCCATTATTTTTAATGATACTTTTCCTTACAGGCAGTAAAATAATTGGCTTTTGTAATTAGTGGTATTTGCAGGGAATTGTGTTAAGCAAAACTTTCTAAAGTACTGTTTGTGTATTCGTAGGTGAGTGAAGGCAGCCTGTCATCCTTCACTCTTCCACTCTCTGGAATGAGTACCTCTGAGTCACAGGAATGCAGCTCCAAGAGAAACGCATGTAAGACTGGTTCAGCATTTTGAGTAGGATTTACTGGTCTGAATTTTAACTGTCAACACTGGTTTTATGGTTGCTCATCTGTTGTTGTTGTTCCTGTTTACCTCTGGGCTTTTCCTCCTCCGCAGATCATCTCATCCCTTAATATATACACAAAAGTGTGCGTTAGCCAAAAAACCTGAGTGAGACAACTCTACAACAGTAGTAGCTTTTCTCATTTGATATTTACCCTAAAAGATATATGAAACATTATCATCAGGATACTATCATTTTTTTCTTACTAGGCAGATGAGGTATTTAGTTTTATTCCCTTTTTCTGTTTAATGTTAAAGCAATAAATCAAAAGATGCCATTAAGCAAAGCCTTCTTTTTCCATACAAAAAATGAGAAAATTAATATGATCCTCCTGTGTTTTAATTGCATGAAATTGTGATGCAAAGAGTTTTTTGGCATGGTACATTGGTGGAGAGTTGTTCAAATTCAAGGAACTAACCATATGGTAGTCTCTGTAATGTGACTGATACCCTAGAAATGTAGGCACTTACATGCCTTTATAATGTATCCATGACTTCATACCTCTTTTCTGTGCACACATCTTTTTATGCAAAGCACATTCTGTCATTTACCCAAAGTGGATTATACAATCAGTGCTTAAAATGAGAAAAAATGGGATGTTATGTACAGCTTTTCAACTGAAATAATAAAAATTTCTCAAGCGAGACAGATTTAGTCATGTCTACTGCTAGTAGCTCAGTATCTCCTTTCAAAAAAATAATAAGACAACCATTTAGTCCCATCCAGCTGAATATATTGGCTAAATCTACAAATTTAAAAATTCTTTAATGACTATATTTTGTCTTGTTTTGCCTTTACAGTAGCATCTGAAATACAAGGTTTAAGAACAGTTGAAATAAAGAAGGTAACTTCATATCTTCAGATTTGTTTCCCTATTAATTGTTTCACTGTTTTATAGTACCTGTTTGCAAAATACTTTGTGTGTGTGTTATTTACAGTGAAAATGATAACTAGTCTTTGCTGAATTTCTTATAGTTTCTCATTTGAAAAAATCATTTATTTTGCCAAAAGTAGTGTCAGTAGATCCCACACAAGATAGTTTGCTGCCTATCTCTTACACTGATCAGTAACTTTTTTTCTTCATTGGATGCTTTTCTATCCTGGGAAGATTTCCCTCATAGATTTCCCACATATAAGAAAAAAAAAAAAAAAAAAGCCACTACATTCACTGAGACTTTGCTTCAAAATGCACACTGTTCTAGACACACATCTCATTGTAATACCCTACCACAGTCACTACAGCCCTCTGTGAGACCCTGCTCTCTGTTTGTCAGTAAAGATCTAGTGATTGAGAAGACTGGTCTTGTTCCAGGTCACAGTGTTTGTAAATCCACACTCCTGGCCTCTCTCTGAGTGCTTAAACTGTGATCTTTTCACTTCATGAATTTACCAATCCCACAGTATAATTTGCAGTTAGTGTGTATTGGTGTCTTTTGTTTTCTGAACACCTACTTTACTAAACCACAATAAGGTTCTATGTCCAATAAAAAAAAAATGCAGTTTCACTCTTATACCTAGAAGATCAGAGTCAACAATACAATATTGCACCAGAGAATGACATTTAATTAAAATATCACTTTGACCACAATATTATATCGGTTGCCTGGCAGGGGCCTACTGACTCGCTGGGAATCAGTATTGCTGGAGGAATGGGAAGCCCACTTGGTGATGTTCCTATATTTATTGCAATGATGCACCCAAATGGCGTTGCAGCTCAGACCCAGAAACTCAGAGTAAGTTTTGCTAATAGCAATAGCAGCCTTAAAATTTTTAGCAGAGTGTTCTATAATTTTGAATTTAGCCACATATCACAAGGAAAGTCTAAATATATCTTTAAGTTAGCTAACCAGGATACAGCAGGCTTGCTTTAAGTAAATCATAAAGAATATTAAAATGAAGAAAATGATAATATTGAACGCAAATTAAAAAATAAATGAAATGATAAAATGTACAGTTGTCTCAAAACATTTTCATTATATTTTTAAAATTATATGGAACAAGTTAAAACAAGCATGTTCAGAACAATAATATGAAGTGAGACTTCTCCTTTGTAAGATATATTGGTTTATATGCTGATTTAATTTTATTAAATGGAAAAGTATCATTTGCACTTGATTATAAAATCTACAGAAATTTAATGCAAATATCATTGATGGTATTCTAAAGCTATGTAAAACTTGCTCCAAAATTGAGGGGGGATTATAGAAATGTAGAACACTATGATGAAATTTACGCTAGCTATCCAATGCTGAAATCACGTGAATATTCTTTTAAAAGCATTCATTTCTTCTAAAGTGAAAAATCTGACATCATGCTTCAAACAGAATCTTCTAACAATCAAGTCTAAGTTTAAATAGCTTTCAACTTGGGAATGATTCTGGTCTGTATAAGTGAGGGGAGATAGTGGGGACTAAACACAGAGTCTCATGCATTCTGGGCACGCACTCTACCACTGAGCTTCATCCCCAACCCCTCAGCCTGTTTTGATATCTAAATCTATTTCTAACACATAAGAAATGATTTGTACACATTTCACAAGGGTCAGAAAATTTCTCCAAAAGCAAATATTTTAGACTTTGTGAGTCACATGATTCTCTGATACAACTGCTGAGCTATGCCCTGTGAAAGCAGCCAAATAAGCATGGCTATCTTCCAAACAGACTTTATTAACCAAAATAGGCAGTTGGCCACATTTGGCCTCTGGGCCTTTATTATTAGATGTGCTTTGGAGTAACATCTAATAATTATAGTGATGACGTTTAGATAAATTTTGGTTCCCAAATGATACCCATATTTTATTATCTTAATAGGAAGTAATGCCTTACCCAAGATAAGTGAAGTGAAGGGAACAATGACTGTCTGCCTCTCTCTTCTCCTCCCTTAATGACTATAGAAATTATTATGTACAACTTCTTTTTGTGATTGCTTCTGGGGCTTGAAATTACTAGTTTCCTTAATTCTGTTTCAGTAGTGGTGGCAGTGTGTGTGGAAAGTAGATGGTAGAGAAGGAAAGAACTGTTCTGGTGTTAAAGTACCACTCTACAATGGCTTAGGAGGTGGCTATTTCTCTACCTTATAGGTTGGAGATCGGATTGTCACTATCTGTGGCACATCCACTGAGGGAATGACTCACACTCAAGCAGTAAACTTACTGAAAAATGCTTCTGGCTCCATTGAAATGCAGGTAAGGTTTTTCATCCCGGGTAAGGATCAGAAATGGATAGCCTGAGGACATATGATCTTTGAGGTGAAATCAGTAAAATGATTAAATTTCATGCTATTTTTTTTATGTAATACCTCCCTGGAACATCAGTGATTAAACTGAGAGCTCCAAAAATACGTGTGAAACATATTCCATAATATTTATCCGGATGAATTTATTGTTTCATATTTGATACTCAAGGGGGAAAAGTACAGGCTCTTAGCAGTAAATGATTACTTGCTGGAATTTTTTGTGGTGTGAGTAAAAGGCTTGTAATCTAAACATCTTTAAAAAATAATTGCACAGGAAATCCTCAAAGGACTAAAATCTAAAATATTATATAAAGACTTCACAAAAGTTAGACGTCTCCAAAATAAAGGACCCCCCTCTAAAAAATGGGCAACTGAAATAGACACTTCTCAGAAAAATTATAGTAATCAGTAAATAGTGAGTAAATATTTAACATCTCTGGCAATTAGAGAAACATACATTAAAGCAACATTGAGGTTCCATCTTACTCAGAAAGAATGACTGTCATTGAGAAATCAAATAATAACAAATACTGGTGCGGTTACAGACAAAAACAAACCCATTTACAGAATTGGTGGGAATGTAAACTAGTACAAACACTATGAAAATCATTATGGAGATTTCTCAAAAAACTGAAACAGCCATTCTCCTTCTAGGTATCTTCCTGATAGAGTTAAAGACATCACATTGTAGTTAAATTTATATACCCTTGTATATCGCAGCACAATTCTTAACAGCTAAATCTTGAAAGCAGTCTATATGTATATCAACAGATAAATAAGACAAAGAAAATATGATCTACTCAGCAATTAGGCAGATACACTTGAGTCATTTGTAGAAAAATAGATGCATCTGTGACCATAATATTAAATGAAATAAATCAGACAAGCTTAAATATCACATGGTTTCTCTTTTATGAATAAACAAATAAAGAGCCAAATAAAGACAGATAATAGAGAGACAGATCCTTTGCAAGAGGGAAGAGGACCAAGAGATGAAGGGAAGGAGATGAAATGGAAAAAAAAAGGAAATGAAGAGAAAGAGAAGAAAAAGATTAAAATGTACTATGTATCACCCCATGATGAATATTATAATCATGTGTACTCTGAACATGTAACAGTAAAAATAAAAATTTTTTAAAATTGCACATGAGATCATATTTTAAGCATTGAAGAACACTATAGAATTGAATTTGAGTATTTTTACTATCTGGACAGTTAAGTGGCCTCTGGACCTTCTGAAACCTTTTGTCACTTGTGTTTTTTAATTTTTAAGAAACTTCTGTTAGTGCATGTTTGCAGTACATAATGATTCATTGTGGGGAGTTGGTACATAACACACTTAATTCTCTTTACTTCCCCTTTCCCTCTCCGTTCCTCCTCCCTGCATATCTCTTACTGTAATTTGTGTTCACAGGAATGATTTAAGTGAGCAATAAAACACACACTTAATCCAAGTGTTCTCTTTGGAGAAAAATTGCTGGTATCTCCGTAGCCACATGAACATGTTTTGTTGTTGTTGTTGTTTTTCACTGTTTTTTCCTTCATACTTCTGTATGCAGGTGGTTGCTGGAGGAGACGTGAGTGTGGTCACAGGTCATCAACAGGAGCCTGCCAGTGCCAGTCTTTCTTTCACCGGGCTGGCGTCAAGCACTATATTTCAGGATGATTTAGGGTGAGAATATATAGTATGCTTGGTACATCATGTTGTGCATGAATCAGTTTTCCTGACAGTGTCATACTATTTTTCCATATTTTCAGCACCTACACAGAGGTGAAAGATTAGATGTTCTTTTCAAAGCACAGACCAGGTGCTTTTAACTATTAACCAATTTTTCCATGGATTGAGCTTATCTAGATAGACAGAGAGAGAGACTGACCTTCAGATAGACAGATAGTTTCTCTGAAAATAAGACTTACCTGGAAAATAAGGCTCACAGGGAATGTCTCTTCTCAAATCATGCTAGAATTAGTTTTCCAGGTAAGCCTTATTTTAGGGGAGATAGATATACGTACCACTGCCCTTCCCATGTTGTAAGCTCTGATTTGGGGAAGACCATTTTAGGCTGTACATCACTGCCCTTCGTGACATGGAGCAAGTCAAACATGTCTTTGAAAATTTTCCACTTTTGCCTATACATTTTATATGTAATCTTTTTGCTTGAAAAATAATTCACTGAATTATATAAAAACACTGAATAATAAGGCACTAAAAGATAGGGAGAGTGAAGAAAGCATGTAGAATGTGTAAGTAATTTGATCTAGTGTTTCCATGACTTGTAATTAATTGACTATTCTCTCTGACCTTTAAGAGTACCCATATTTACAACTTACTCCATTTTAGTCCCTTTAACTAAAGTTCTCATTGTAGATGAACTGAAAAAATAATCCACTTCTCCATGACATGAAAACATGCCGTGGACACATTAGTTTAAAGCACCTATAAATGAGCATAGAATTATGGCATTAATTAGGATTTCCTTAGATGATGTGGATTACAAATACTGTGCATGGTATACACTGACAATTTAAGTGTCTGCAAATACCCTCAACATGCTCCCTATCAGTAACACAGAGAATTAGGCTAGCTTTTTGTCAAATGATGTCAAATGAATTATGGATTTATGTGTATGTACAAATATATATTAAAATATAAAATATATGATTAAAATATATAAAATATGAAATATATATGAAAATATAAATGTGTCATTTTAACTTCAAAACTCTTTTTTCTTTCCCTTTACTGTAGACCTCCTCAGTGTAAGTCTATTACACTGGAACGAGGACCGGATGGCTTGGGCTTCAGTATAGTAGGAGGATGTGGCAGCCCTCATGGAGACTTACCCATTTATGTTAAAACAGTGTTTGCAAAGGTAAGGCTGCAAATTTTAACCATTCTCCTTCCTTCTAAACATTTATTCACAGTGATCAGCAGCTGGCTTATTAGTTTATGGCCTGAGGTAATGCCAAATGGTTAACAGTTGATAATTTTCTTTGTAAACTCCCTACAGGAATGGGTCATTAAAAATTTTTTGTGTAATTTGAATTTTAGTTGTATTTAAAGTAAAATAGGCTTACATTGAAACTCCATAGAAACTTTTAATAATATTCATAAATTAATAAACTTCTGTTATCCTTTGAAAACAAGTTGCATGATTTGAAAATAGGACTTTTTAAAATATATGTGCCATGGAGCATTAACGTTTCTTTATCTTTGCATTTTGTTATGAAATATAAAGTTGGTATAAAAAAGCACATAAAATATAACTGCAAATTAACCAGTAGTGCATTTTTAGAAGCTTAATTTAATTGAATAAACTACTAAAGAAAAGTCTGAGGAGTATCCTGTAACCTGTCCCCTCAGCAAATGAGCTGGTTGTAATCAAGGACTTGATACCTTTAAAAAAGAAAAACTTTTGTATATGATTAAATAGTAATAATATTTAGAATAAGTATAAAGGTATTGGTTTGATGAAACTATTAAAACAAAATGTTCTAACCCTGTAGTGTGATTGCTATTATGTTGCTGAGACATTTTCAGATGTACAAAATTGAATAAAATTTCCTGCAGGAGAAAATCTAGAGTCTCAAAATTTTATACTGGGAGGGAACAAAATTTATGGCAATTCTACTTACAGATTTAATACAGAGGCTTTATATTAGTGTCATCATCCTTTAATTTTGGAAGGTTTCATTCTATTGTTTTGGAAAATATTTTTAAGAAGTTTAAAGTGATGTACCTACAGTAAGCTAGCTGTAGGCTTAATTTATGACATTTTTTTAAAAAAATGGTATGTTCAAAAATACAAGTGGCATTTGCCAGCGAATAAAAGGATCTTGCAATCCTGTTCCTCAGCCTGAGAACAATTTATTTAAGGCATGCTAGTTAAAACATATTTTAAGAATTTCTTCATTATGGATTCCTCATTAACTTTTCCATATTTTTTATCTTATATTTAATTGCATAATTGCCTTCTATAAGTATGCCTTAAGACAGGGTTCTTTTTCAAACAGCAGTGTCTGTATTTAATCATAATTAGTTAGACTTAGGAATATGAAGAACCTATCTATCCATCGGAAGTGAGAACCACAGCCCTTTGACTAGCCTCTTCAAAGCCAGTGTGTGTGTGTGTGTGTGTGTGTGTGTGTGTGTGTATGTTTTGCAGTGCTGGGTATAGAATCCAGTACTTCATGCAATTTGGCAAATACTACAGCATGGGTCTTTAAATCATCACTTGTGCCATTTCCTGTCCTAGTTGACTGTCATCTGGGCTCCATGTTTCTGTAAAACTTTTGAGTTTTGTAGTCTTCTTGCCCTTGCCCTGGGCAAAACTGCTTTTGTTCCTACCTAATCTTTGGTCTCCTTTACAGAACAGAAAATCCTGCATTCTGTGAAATCATTTTTACTAGGCAAATTTCCAGATATTCTTTATTAATTTGAGTTACAACCAACTGCTGTACTGAACAGCCAAAAAACCATCTAATGTGTTGACTGCTAGATTTTCTCCAAAATTGATATCTTATTGCTAAAACCATTTTTGTGTATGTTCACCATTGCTTGGTTGGCTGTAGAGAACCTGTAGAGCACAAGGAACAATGTGTGTGTCCGTGCAGAGCAATTTACATTTGTGTCTAGAACTTTTTCTGTGATAATAGTTGTGAAACCGCATTCTTTGAGAAGTAAGCTACCCCACTTTATAATTGCAGGGAGCAGCATCAGAAGATGGGCGCCTTAAAAGGGGTGATCAAATCATTGCTGTCAATGGACAGAGTCTGGAAGGGGTAACCCACGAAGAAGCTGTTGCTATCCTTAAGCGAACAAAGGGCACTGTCACTTTGATGGTTCTCTCCTGAATTGGCAGCCAGATTTGAACCAACTCAACCCTTGCTTCCCTGTGTACTATTGAGAAAATTGAATGATCTTATGCGTGACTTTTCCTGTGCTGTGTTGATGCAGTCTTTGACATTATGTGGAAAAATAATATTTAAGTCTGTTCTTCTCATATGAGAATGGTTATTTTTACTGATGACCTAATATTATTTTTCCTTTTCTTTTGCTTTTTGTGAATCCAAACACACAGAGAAGGGACAATTTACAGATAAATCCAGTTTGTCTTTTGAGGCTACCTAAAGTTTTGCCACATGAACAAAAATTATTAAAGAAAAAGGAAATGTTAAAAAAAGAAAGAAAAATAATTCTAGAGCTAACCATTTAGAAAGTGGTTTCAGTAAATTAGGTTGAAAAATAAAAAGGCATAATAAGGAAAAAAACCTTGAGTTTTATAAACATCTCTCAATTTGGCAGTTCATCCCCTGTCCCCAAACCAAACTAAAAAAATTATTGAAAATCTTAATAAGTGCTCACAATATTTTAATATTTTGAATATTGTTAAAATTGTATCTCCTTACCTCTAGCATCTATACATATTTTTTCCTGCTAAAATTACTGCCTATAATTAAGTAAATAAAAAAATACATGAAACGGTGTTCCTAAGTTTTGTAAAATCATATTTAAGGCACATTCTCAATGTGCTGTAATAAAACAATGATGTTACCCCTGTTGACAACAAACAAGCTCACCATAGAGGAGCACAGGTTCTGAGAATCTTTTTAAGTTGGTTTTAACAATTGATGAAACACTGAAAATGGCTTAGTGCACTGTGCAGTTGGTTTACAAATAGTGTTAATCTTAATGCAAAGAAAAAAGCAGGGCCGGGGACATAACTCAGTAGCAAAAGCGCCTGCCTAGTAAGTGTGAGGTCATGAATTCAGTCCGCAGTATCAAAAAGAAAAAAAAGAGAGAGAAAAGCAATGTGTCATTCATTATTTTGGTTCAATGCCATTAATAAATTGATAGAAAATTAAGGGGATTAACGTAACCAATTCATTGCTTTATATTAATATCTTATAATACAATAGTTTAAAACAGATGGAGGTGTTTTTTGAGACAACTGTAGAGGAATTATCATGTGTTCATTCCCATTTTAAAGCATGAAACTCCTACATTGGAATATATAAAATCACTTTAAATATCTGTATTTATAACAAATAGTGTACAGTTAATGCAGTATTTTTTGTGTAAACACAAAATTAAAGTAAATAAACAAGGTTTGTGATTGGGTAGTTCCTTTTAGAAATAGCTTACCAAATAGTTTGTAGGTCCTCCTTGTCTGGTACAAAAACTGAGTAAGACAAGCAGAAACAATGACAAAGGTTATGAGAAAAGTGAAGGCAGAGGGTGAGGAGGAAACTGGCTCTGCAGAGTAAACTTGGTAAAACAAAAGAGAGAAAAAGTTAAAAGCAAAAATTCAAGTACACTGTGAGGGGCACAAGGTGAGTTATTGAGAAAGAGGCACACAAGCTCTTCATAGTGTCTGCCTCCCCTTGTGCCACTCACTGCATCAGAACCTGCCTGAACTTCACACGGGGGTGCAAAGGAACGGGCAGGGTGGTCTCTGGGGGCCTGCCTCTCTTCTCTGCCAGCCAGTCTAAGCCACGTCCTGTGTCCTGGCTCAGGTTCAGTGGTGCACAAACAAAAACGAAGGCTTTTTTATTCTTTTGTTAGAGGAAAAACTACTGTTCAGCACTCACTACTTACAATTGGCTTTTGTCATGTCTGCCTGTATGTGCACTATCCATGCATGCAGTTAGAAAAGAATTGGGCATCATTATAAAAACAATGTTTTTTTTTTTTTACCTTGACAGTATTTCTAGTGCTCAAAGTCCATAGACTCCTCATAGAGCGGAGGAAGGCGATGCTATGAGAAGGCGAGTCACCTGCCTATGAATAGTTTTCTAGGGTGCTATTGTGCAGTGATATTAACAGTTGTTCTTAGGTTAGTAAAGAGCCAAAGTGTATTCATATGGAAATACCATGATGAAATTCATTCTAATAAACATGAAAAGTCAAATGTGAACACTGAGCAAATAGTTTGGAAACCTTAGTCCTACTAGTTCTGTCCCAGATTAACCAGGGAGTGTATACTTCCCTCTGATTCATTTCAGTGTTAAATAATAGGTTATTTGATCAGTAAGCTTCTATTCTAAAATGTAAGAAAATACTTATTTATGAATATAGAAATTCTGTGATTGTAGTTTATAAAATGCATATTGCACCAATTTAGGAGTCTTCATGTAAATTGAGGTGCTTACTGTAACAGAGTTCACTTTCCTATCCCAGGGACACATACTACTTTCTGCTCCTCTTCTACCATATGCTTTCACAGTAAGCTCCTGGAAACTGAACCAACCTCGTTTGCAAGTTTGAACTAGCAAAGATTTTTATACTGGTAGATAATACTGTACATCAATATTGAATGGGAGAAAGTTACTAATCACATTAAAGTTTGAGTAAATATGGGGGATCATCCCTAAAGAGAACAGTTTCATGAGTATCAGTCCTAGCTTAAACAGTGTCTCTTCAAATCCATGTCCATATGGAATCTCAGAATATAATCTTTGGAAATAACCTTTGTAGGTGTAATTACTTAAAAGTCATACTGGACCAAGAGGTTTGGTTTTAAAAAGACTGTGCACACACCGAGACATTAGTGAAAGCCATGTGAAGAGGGAAGCAAAGAAACAAGCTAAGGACTCCTAGGCTGTTAGAAACTATAGAGACAAGGATTTTTCCTAAAGTCTTTAGAGGAGATTTGGTTTATATTGATGCTTGCATTTCAAGTTTCAGGCCTCCATAGTAGGAGAAAATAAGTTTCCATTGTTTCATGCATCCCATTTGTGCTACTTCGTTACAAAATGTTGGGAAACTAACACTGTATCTTGAGTTGCTGTCCTTATCCTAGCTAAGAACAGATCATTGCTATTAATTTACTAAGTCAAAGCACATGAAACAGAAGATGGAAAGAAAGAAGAAGAAAAGGAGACTGACTTTGAAAGGAGAAAAAAACTAGATTTATCCACATTGGAGAGAATGGCTTATGCTTCCTGGGTTATTTTCTGGAAATAAAGGAATAGGTTCCTAAACAGAGTTTAAATAGACTTTAACATTATCTGATGTTGAGGACGTGTACAACCCAAAACTAGACTGCCCACAATGGCTCAGTGTAGTAATATTTCTTTTCAGCCTGACTGATGCATAGCAATAAAGGTAGAAAGGAAGCATAAAAAGTCAGCAACATCCATACTTCAGAGCAGTGGTAAAGCAGAAAGATTAAGAACCATGAAGGTGAAGAACACAAGAAAAAGGAGGGAAAGGTTTTTTTATTTTTTTCGTTTTAAGAATTTTGACAAAGATTTAAAAGGGGTTCCTTCCTGCTCTGAGATACAGGATACTAAGTCTCCTTAGAATGGGTCACTCTTCTTTAGACCACAGAGTGAACAGAGAACTTGAAAGGATGCCTACAGGGAGATGAGAATAAATATATTTTTTTAGGTGTACAAATGTCAAAAATACCATCACCTGCTTTCAGCAGCTCTGGTATGGTGTTTCATGTCCATGACAGATACTCCGGAATGCATTTGATTCATGCCCTCAACTTGGTCTCCTAGGAATCAATGTTTAGTGTTGTCTTCTTCCAAAGGGACCTGTTGGTAAAGCAGGGTGCCTCGTATTACCCTTTGACACCAAGAGTATTTTTGCATAGAATGGAAACTAGGGGAAAGAGATGTTCTTAAATTGATTTTTGCCGCTTTGTTCCTTTCAGAATCCCACTATTCTATATTGTCCATTTAAATATAAGCCATAGGAAAAAAATATTTGTCTAATTAGTTAAGTGTGAAAAGTTCTATAATAGGCCCTAAAAATAATTGTGTGAAGGAGGGAAACTTACAGTAACGATCTCAGAATTGTCCCACTGAACAGATTTCTTGAAATTTTTGAAAATACGACACCATCAGAAGATTGCCTTTATCACAAGCTTGGTGTCTCTTAGCAGTGGGCTTTTTGTGAGATGATTGCCTGTTGTGAAAACATCATGACCCTTACCTTCCCCTCCACTCCTCCTCCAGACTTGACTGAGAAACAAGTTACCCTCAGAAAATACTGTTTTGTAAAAGTTATGTTTTTTAGGAGTCTGCCTTGAGATACTGGGTATTCAAAGTTTCACTCCTCTAAACTTCACCTAAAATACTTTATTGCATTTAGTAAAACTTGCAAATTTACTTTGGGAAATTATGTAGACTTAACAGCATGCACAGAATAAGATGTCAAGAAATACCTTGTTATTTATATTATTCTAAAAGGCATTGTGTTATAAATTTAGTATTTTCTGTAAATAGTGTTTATTTTTGTGCAGTTGTGTCTTTTTCCTCTAAAATTTTATGTAAATCAACTTGTACTAAACTTTCCAAAATTTATGCTTTTTGGGTTACAACTTTCATGATGGTTCCCATGTCATCTTATAACTGTACTATTAATTACTAGATATTTTTTCTTCAAATATTTTAACACAGATGATCTTAAATTGTATCTCACTACCTTTCATAGGAAACCAGTATTATTTGCAATTAATACAGAATAACTATGAGGAAAAACAGAAGCTCAAAAATTCTAAAAAGATAGTGTGGTGTATCAATGATCATAGCCCAAGGCCCGGGCTCTGGCAGAAGGGCTAGTTGCAAATGTTAGCATGGTGTCAGCAACTTCATGGAGACTTTCCTGAAGTGACCTGAAAAGAACAGAAGGTATTTATTTTATCCATATGTGGTCCTGTATTTTCTGTATGCCTTGCCAGAGCCATCAAACATAATGATCTTATGATATGGCCCCTCTTTGGAAAAATTATTACACCAAAATGTGGAAAGTCATGTTTTCAGTCTTCCTTTTCTTAAAATATGAAAATTTCTGGTTAATTCTTGTTCTTAAGTGTATATTTAACAACAGAAATTGTTTAAGAATTGCTGATAGTATATGATTTTACTAAAGCTAGAATTGAGTTGCTATGTCCAGTGTTTTACTTCTGGCAATTTAAGTTTGAAATAAAGGCTAAATGACATAAATTAATGGAGTAAAATTAATGTTGTGGTAATATTAAATAAAGCTAATGTCGCTTGCACCTGGAGGGCTATACAGATGGTGGGCATACCTAATTATGCCCCCTGCTACCTTTAAGTGTACTGATAAAATCTCTCAGCTGAATCTAAAATATGTTTATTCACCAGTTCCAGAAAAGTTTCAGTAAGACAGCTTGGTACACAAAAAGCCTTATAGTCTTCTCTTTTGAAGGAAAAAATTTATAAGCCTAGAAGTTAAATAAATATTTATCTAGTTTTAAGAATAAATCATACTGCAAACATACTCCGTGTTCTTTCTGTCAATATTATGTTAGTCTCAGAAAAAAGATTATCCTCAAAAATGTAAGGAAGTACTTAAGTTTTCATTTTCACCCACTATACATCTATTTAAAAAATAGTTCACTAGTGCAGCTCAAAGTAATTTTATTTGATTTCACTCAGTACATAAAGTGGATTGGTCAATTACTGTTCAGGTATTTATGAACTTACTCTGTTCTTTAAGAGGTAACTTCAGTAGAAAATATATTGCCATAATTAAGTGGGTAAATTGTATGTTTTACTTCAAAATATTCAGAAAGGCGACTTCTAAAACGTACTGAGAGTTCTTTTCACTTAAGGATTAATTCCCATGAATTTGATTTGCTACAGTTGAATACCTGTGCAGTTAGATACACAGCCAACCACTTTCACTTGTGGTTTCAGGATGATTTTTAAAATCCTTTTTATAGTATTTGTATATGTAACTATTATTTAGCTACATATTTGTTATGTACATTTTTAAAATAAAGGAAAATTGTTTTGATTTGAGTTCGGAAATGTCCCACAGAAGTCAGGAAGCTTGGAAGCCTTTAGAGTGCTGTTAGGAAGGGGCATCACCTTGAGGGCACAGTGCCCTGGTGGCTGCTCCTCAGATTCTCTTTATGGTGAGCAGTTTCCTTTGCCATGCAGTTAGCGCCACAACCCAGGCCCCACAGCAGCTTGGTCAAGCCGCTGTGGACTGAAACCATGAGCTGCACTGTGCCCTTTCTCTCTGTAAGCTGATGACCTCTGGGATTTCAGATTGATGGGATGCTGACTGACACGAAAAGTGAACAATGATTCCTTTTCAGATACAATTTCTATCAAATAGATCTGGTATCTGATATATTAAAAAAATACTGGATCTTTTTAAAGAACAAATATTTGGTTAAAGAGGATATAATTGTTACCTTTTGTTTAATATTAGAGTTAAATAAATCTTACATTTAAAGTATAACATTTGTAATAGCTGTTAATATTTGGATAACATACTATTTTGCATTTGTAGGTATTGGACTCTTTAGCTTCAGTAATTGATTTTTTAAGGTTTTTCATTTTGTACTTTACAGGTATTTAATGCAGTTATCAATGTCTCATTCCCTTCCTTCCTTTGTTGCGCTGTATTTAATATAAGTCTTACCTGATATGTATCTAATACTGAAGAAATTCTAGCTTTCTCTCAAACTTAGTGTGAAGAGCACAGGCTTCTGAATCCCAAGGCCTTGGTTCAGACCTGGCTTGGCTCCTGACAGAATACAGCTGAGTTTTCTTGAGTCTGTGCCTCATTTATCTATAGAATAGGAACAATAATACCTTCCTTGCATTGCTACTTGTATCAAATGAGATGAGATGAAGTGTTTGCACATGATAAGCACTGATAAAAGATAGATTGTTACTTTTACAAGAGTCCATGTAATTTTAAGGCTGAGGTCCATACGTGGAATTATGGGAAGTCATCAGAAATAGTCTTATCGTTACTGTTAATTTATATCCCAGCTTTCAAGATAAACTTTAAAGTGTCCTCATACTTTCTTATTCTAGATATTTTTTTTCATAATTTGTACTACAAAGAGAAGCTAAAACAAGGAACTATAGAGTCCACTTGGTTGTGAAAGCAGCATACCCCTCTTTAATAAATAAGAATTACTCTAGATGTGAGTTACTTAAACCTAGAGGTGTTCTAGTTGAAACTCCAGTCCTTGTCTAATGAACTGAGTATTTATTTTTAAAGTAAATGGGAAATTTCCCAGTCTCCATCAATCATATTCTCCTTCCCTAGTCTTATATATTAAATTAATTATATTTTATTTTTATCCCATTTCTAGACCTGAAAAACTACTTCTAACATAACCTACTATTTTCTGAAATTCTGTATCATTTCTTTTTCTGTTTTGCTTTTGTAAAATAAAAGCAAATGATAAAAGGAGGAAAATAGAATCAGCTTGGTAGACAAAACAGCTCTCCAGAAGAAAGTTACTGAGGTCAGCTGTGTGCCAAATGCTGCTTTATTCCATATTAGATACAATTTTTTCAGATAGCTTTTCCATTTTGTTTTTCATTTTTATCTTTGCTTTTGTAGTTGTTGGTGCAAAATCTTTTTTGATAGCAAATGAGCTAGAGAAATGTAACACAGAAATTGTGTGCATTTCTAGTTACTAGTTTTTTAAACCTTATGTTTAATCAGAAACAGGAACTTTGCTTCTAAAAAAGAATTTTGCCAAACAGTGATCACATTTGAGTATAAAATAAGTTCGTGGAGCCAGCACATGCTGCATAGGAGTTAGGTTAGGGTTTGGAGAAGAAAGCTTCTATTTGGGAGATTATAGCACTTTTGTGGGATGTTCCTGTGTAGAAGACTCACTTGCTGATAGATGTATTCATGACTGGAATGTCCTGGAGTGTGAAATTCTTTGCCTTCCTCTCTGATACAGAATCCAATTTCGGACTGTGTGACAAACTTTCCATGATTTGGTTATTTAGTGGGCTTATTTATTTTTAACTTTGAAGTGAAAAAATAGTTATTAGAAGTACTGCAACTTTATGATAATACAATGTCTGAATTCTGAACAAGCTAGAAACATAAATTGCTGAAGAGTCTGAATCAAAAATCTTTAGAGTTGTGAAAAATTCTTTATTTGAAGAGCAAAAATGGAATAGGAGTCACAAGTCAAATATTTTATCTTCCCCTAAGGGTTTTAAAATGTGTGTATGCTTTGGAAAAATTATGTAAGTGTTAATCATTGCTTTTATGTATAAGGTCAGTCATACATGTATGGCTCTTTAGGTTAAAACCTACCAGATTGACTGAGGCCCTGTCTATACTGTATTCTGATACTTTTCAGTTATACAATTTTAGCAGTGAAACTTTTAATAATGCAATACTTTATTAATGAATTACATACATTTCAGTTTACCAAAACTAGATAGATAGATAGGTAGATAGATAGGTAGATAGATAGATAGATAGATAGATAGATAGATAGATAAACCTTGCTGGAATAAAACCAAAACATTTGAGACTAGAAGTCAAATGGAATAAAGCACTCAATCGATCTGAGACAAGTTCCGCAACTGCCAGTAGTATGGTAGATAGCATTTGGAAATCTGTCCACTGGACCTAAGACCCAAGAGAACTTTTATAATGATAATTTATGGTGGAAAAGCATAAATTGCTTATATTGAGTCTACCTTAATTTGAAGGTTTAAATGAGGTGTTCCCAGAGAGATGTGGATATCCAGGGCTTGGTCACCAGTGTGGTGTTCAGATGCAGGCCCTAGGGAGGCCAGTTCATCAAGTACATTGATCCACTGATGAGGTCATAATTTTATGACCTAACCTGGAAACCGGAGATGAGTCCTTGTTAGCATAGATAGATCATAGCAAGACACTGGCAACTGGAGCTGGTTATAGGTATCTCTCACACACTGAGGAAGCGAAAGAGACTGATGTATAAGGTGTGATGGTCAGAAGGCAACTGCTGCTTGCTTCTCTAAACATTGCCAGAACTAGGTTCAATGAATGGCTTTCATGTGAATCCATGGTGGGTAAGTAGATGCCAACAGTATGTTTTTAACCTTTCTGGAATGTGAATTCTTAGCTAGAACTACTTCCCTGTGTGTATGTGTGTGTGTATGTGGTGTGTGTGTGTGTAGTATGTATATATGTTATATCTATAATACTATAGTGTATATTATATATTGTATAATATAACGTGTATAATGTATGTATATTGTATAATATATGCATATTGTATACATATGTATATAGTATATACATATGTTGTACATATATTACACATATATATTATATAATAATATATATATATATATTTATATCAAACCCACTTTACAAACTGGATGTAGCATCTGGACAAAAAATGATTAGAGAAACATTTAGGCATTGTTTGTCACCTTTACTTTCACATTGGATAGGAATAAGATCACGAATAATACAATGGTGCTGTGTGATGAAATTAGTATTTCCTTTGTCCTTTAGTGTATGAACCATCTGAAGTCCCTTGAGAAGCATCAGAGAAGATGGCATGAGCTGCAGAAGTGAAATGAAGCTGAAAATCTAGAAATTCCATATATTAGTTTTCTGGATTAAATTATTAAACTGGCCTGATTTTAGGAATGTTTTGCCAATGTAGACTTGGCTTAAAGTGTAACCAAAATAAGTTTAAATTGAACTCATAACACAATGAATTTTCTTTCTAAGTTTATGAGAAGGGTGCCTTTTCCTGAGAAATAATTTGTTTTTGCCGATATCCTACATGAACACGTTAAAACAGTGAATGCTTTCTGGGAATAGACGATGGTTTAGAAACTCAGTGACTAAGAACACTGGTGACATTTTACCCTACCATCCTTTCTCCCCCAATCACTACTTTGTACCAAGGGGAAAAAAATGATTGGTACATTGTTTGTACTCCCTCGTAGCAGTTTCCTTACAATCCCAAGATGCTGCTTTTCTTTGTTCTTTCTTTTTTCTTCCCATTCTGTAGCTTTACACTCCTTCAGAAATCATAGATAAGAAGACCAATTCCTTGCCTCTTTCTGAAAACTAATTAAAGCTAAATTCCTGGCAATGGAAGGGGTCAGTTGAGAAAAAGCCGTTCCCTGAGGCTGAGCCCAGGAAGTGAGGCCAGCTAGGAGTCTGAGCTGGACGGGGTGAGGGCAGCCAGCAC